GTTTTATATCCCTCATATGATTGAAATCATATGGCTCCTGTCCTTTTCCATGTATTTCACTTAGCACAATACCCTCATGATTTATCCATGTAGTTGCAAATGGCAATATTTCATTGTTTTTATGGCTGAGTAGTATTCCAATGTGTGTGTGTGCATGTATATATGTATATATATGTGTGTGTGCGCATATATATATTTATATCACCTCTTTATCCAATCATCTATTGAAGGATGAACTGTGTTTTGACTTATACAAAACTTTATATGTACAATGATATTTGACATTTTTTTAACCAGTGGTGGACAACAGTGTTACTCAAGCCCTTAAAACAAAACAAAACAAAACAAAACAAAACAAAACAAAACAAAACAAAACAAAACAAAACAAAACAAAACAAAACAAAACAAAACACACGTGCAGACAGGCCATTTGTTAACGGTCTCCTTTTCAGAGTTTATCTTGAGATAAAAACACATGTTACTTGCTCAAGAGTCAAACATTTGCCTTTACATTTCTAAATATGTTTTTCTGCAAAGTTTTTTTCATACATAAATCTCAATAGATAAAATCTCTTGTCACCATTGACGTACATCACAAAAACACACACCCACCTACCCCAAAAGGGAACCCTAGTTACCTTGACAATATTTAGAATGCTTTCAGATGGGCTTTAGTCCCCAGGCAATTGGAAGGTTAGAGTTTTCCTGATTTGCTCTACCTGATGAAATTCGTTGCAATCTAGGTAACAGTGCACTTCAAAACAATACAATTAACTGTGAATGTTTTTGGCTTCATTAATCTGTACGGAAGAGTTAGCTTTGATTTTCTCCAAAGTGTAAAACAGATTCTTCTTTGGTAAGGCATGATATGGGATGCTCTTGCTACCTTCCCTGTTGCCACTTTCTTTGTTTTTCCAAAAACCGTGGATTGTGGTTTAGAACTACAAAGGAAGTCATGAAGGACGGAAACGTATTAGACGTGGCCCCATTCATCCCATAGCTTATATTCCATAAAAAGTAATGCGACAATACACAAATAATTCTAAAACTAGAATGTTAATTAACGATCGCTATCTTAAGAGAAATGTGTGTTAAAGGAGAAACACTTGATTCCGTAGCAGAATAACGTCAAGGACTTAATTTTAACTGGTTTAATCTTGGACCGAACTGGAAACCGAGTAGCCAACTCTTAACCCCTCTAGTTCCAGCCATAGAAATTAGAACAGAGAGAAGGAAGGGAGGAAGGCAGAGAGGGAGGGAGGAAGGGAAGAAGGAATAAATCTTCATGGCAGGTTGACTGTGAGGTGTACAAGAACCATGGAGGCTACTGGAAATGTACCAGAAGTCATCCACACTGTGATACCTTTGAAGCCAAGGTGAAAGTTAAGTTTACCTAGGGAAAGAGAATAGAGCAGTGGTTCTCACAGTGTAGTCCTCAGACTACCAGCAGCAGCAGTGCCTGGAAACCCGTTAGAAAAACCGATATTCAGGTCCCATTCCAGACGTACTGAATTAGAAACCAGGGATGAGGCCCAGCAATCTGTGTTTTAACAAGCTCTCCAGGGGATTCTGTGCACACTATAGTTTGAGAGTCCCTGGGGCAGAACAAAGGTGGAAAAGGGCCGAAGACTCCAGTTTGCAGTCTACAAAGCTGAAGGAGATAAAAAGAAGTCCTGAAGCTGGAGAGGAGCCATGAGAGCCAAGCATCCTTGGAAGTCACAGGAGGAGGGCATTTAAGAAGGAGATACTGTTGTCAAATGCTATAGGAAGTTTAGTACCAGTTGGGGCATTTGTACTACTTTACAAAGTGGGACCTTGTGCAAGCCTCTTAATCTTTCTGAGCCTCAGTGTGCTCACCTGCAAAATGAATATGCACTCATGCTCTTTCAAACTTTATAAAGTTTTTGAGTGAATCAAATTAGATATTAGATGTCAATTATGGAATCATACAAAGATTCATGAAGTAACTAATCTTTTCATACCATAAGCCATTAGATCTGGCCATAGTTCTAAAGCCTGACCTCAGTGCTAAAGTCCTCAAGAGTGGTGATTTTGATAACTCTCATGTATCTGCATGAGTTAAGTGATGGTAGAGCAGATACTGGAGGATAATGTACCTAGAGATCAAGAACATAACCAGTCCTGAGGGACTGGATTGGGTGGTGGAGATGCCTTGTTTCCTGCATGTAAATTTTCATATCTTCCCACTTGGAAGTGTGACAGTTATAATGGCTGAGTAAACATTTTGATTGTTTATTACATTGGAAATGCACAGATGGGATTTGAGTCATATTTCAGAGAAGATAGTAGAGGCCATACTGATGAGCTATTTTGTGTGTGGGTTTTTTGTTGTTTTTTGAGAACTGTAAAAAAACGATGATAAAGAAACTGAGGTAGCCTGGCAGGTGTGGCTCAGGAGTTGAGCATCGACCTAGGATCCAGGAGATCGAGGTTTGATTCCCGGTCAGGGCACATGCCCGGGTTTCAGGCTCGATCTTCAGTGGGCGGTGTGCAGGAGGCAACTGATCAATGACTCTCAACATTGATGTTTCTACCTCTCTGTTCCTCTCTCTGAAATCAATAAAAATATATTTAAAAAAAGAAACTGATGTATACAAGTAGTGATACTTCAGGTGGGCACTAAACATAGACAATAGAGTTTCCCACCTATATAATAATATTCAATTGGTGCTTAAATTCCTCATTGACCCCAAATTTGTCTCCTGACAATTTTCCAGCATACTTGTAGTTCTTACAATTTAGTTGCATTTTCAGGGTCATCTCAAGGTTCTCAATAAATGCTTATTAGAACGATTGAACAAATGAGAGGCTGAAGACATGTATTCACTTAAATTGAATACATGCTTCATCTGGAAGGAGTGACAGATGATTAGCTATAGTATTACCTAGAGTATATGTGTATTATTTAATCCATTGTTAATCTCTAGCTGAGTACAAAAGCTTTATTGAAGTTGGATCCAGTATGGTGATGTTTTTGTAGTTAAAAGATAGAAAAGGGTCTAGACTTTTAGAATAGTGCCCTTGGAATCTATGATCTGAGGGAAAGGGGAAAAATAATACACTTAACTAACCTGGATGCTGTCGGAGTTCTGAAATATCAAAGGAGATGAATGAGGAGAGAAGCAATCCCAAACACAAATCTAGCATATGTCACAATACATTCTCTAATAAACCCTACGGCCCTGTATGGTTCCTTCTCTGCACACAGATTAAACAAAGACACAACAAAAAGCGTTAAGTCAAACAATCCAAAATAAAGTACAAAAGAATCACAACATTAAAGGAGACCTTATTTATAAACCATAACGACCCTGTTTATAAGCCCATCGTTTCAATCCTAAACTCTCCTGCATTCTACAAATGCTCCAGACTCCCCCATAAATATACAGAATTTTCTCCCAGCACTCCTAAACTTCTCAGGTTACGTCCTCCCACCTTCCTTACTGTTTCAGATTTGCAAGGTGTTTCTTCCTTGGAGAGATTGGAGGAAAGGTTGGAGAAATAGGAGTGAGGAAAGGAATTAGCAGTCTTCCTTTTATACTCCAAAATCTCTCTTGATTCAGTTTAGGTGATGCTTTTGGGGGTGGTGATGGTGGTTGGCAGGTTTGACTCATTTCCTCAGTCCAGAAGCAAAAGGAAAACCCCAAGTTTCAAATTCAAACTGAAGTATCCTTCCCACTGTGCTATTTTCATTTTGCTTACATGTTATGCAGCGCGACAATGACTTTATATACTAAAACTACAGTGATGATGCTCGGTGATGTATATTAGTCAAAGGCTACTGGACGGCCCAAGCAGGGAGTAATTGACATTGCCTGTGGAGTAGGGAGGATTCAAGAACCTGGTGTTCCTGAAGCTGCACTGTGTGGGGATGGAAGTTCTTGAAATACACAGGGAAGGCTATCTCCTCCAGAATGGAGTATGGAGCGGATGAGGAAAAGTGGCAGAAAAGGCAGGCCAAAGTCATATCACAAAGGGCCTCAAATTCCTTGCTGAGAAAGTTGGAGTGACTATGTAGTTCTTGGTAGGTGAGGCTTTCTCTGACTCGCCCTGGTAAATGGCACATGGGGGCTGTTTCCTGAGCTCTCACAGCAGTTAGACCCATGTTCACTTGTGTGCCCATTAGACTGCCAGCATCTTTAAGGCAGGGATCACCTCTTTTCATCTTTGTGTTCCTGGAGCCTTCTAATGATCCACATAAAGATGTGCTACATAGTTTGAATGAGTGAGGAACTGACATTCATAAATGAAGAGTATAGGCTATTTCATAGTAAAAGCATTAGCATTAAAGGTTCAGTGATTAGCAAGATACTATACTGATTACCATTCAGCCTAATCTTTTGTGGCGATTTATTTCTCAAAATCTCTATTAAGCTGGTCAACTTCCCATCCCACATTTATTTATTTACTTATTTATTTAAATACATCTTTATTGATTTCAGAGAGAGGAAGGGAGGGGGAGAGAGAGAGAAACATCAATGATTAGAGTGTCACTGATCGGCTGCAGCCCACAACCCGAGCATGTGCTCTGACCGGGAATCGAACCCTCATCGCCTGGATCCCAGGTCGACGCTTAACCACTGAGCCACGCCCGGCCGGGCCCCATCCCCCATTTAAATAGCTATAGAAACTATCTCCAACTTTATTTTTTCTTTAGCTGACTTTATCGAGCGGCTACGTCCTAGGCACTGTCTTAAGAAGACGCTGGTCAAGACCCAGAGCGTGGGCGGTACCGGTCACCAGACGGCTGGAGGACGAGCACCAAGGCGACTGAAACCCCTAAGTCCCTGTAGCAAGCCGGCCTGCGGAACCAAACTTCCGACGCTCGGTTTCCGGGCGGCCGCGCGAGTGTGTTACGATGACTCGATTGCTTTTGCCTGGCGGAGGCCTGGCCGGAGCGGACGAGCGGCCGGAGGCTGAGGGAAGGGGACGCGCCTAGGACGTCCTGGTCTCGGAGGGGGCCTGGGCCGCTGAGACTTGGGGGGCCGCGCGGGGCCTGCTTGGCCGGGTGCGCGGGCGGGTCGGAGAGTTCTGTCATGTTTACACGCGCGACGACGCGCGCCTTGCGCAAGAGCAAGACCCTTCGCTACGGGGTCCCCATGCTGGTGAGTGCTGGAGAAAAAGTGTGGGGGCGGGATTGCGGAAGGGGTGGGACCTCAAGTTTGGCCGGATGGAGACCGCGGGGTACCTGTAGCTCGAGAGGCGGGGAACTGATGCCCGGGCTAGGAAGGGGCTGGGGTAGGTTGGGAGCTTTCAGGCAGCCCTATTTCTAGTCTTCTCCGGGTAGTGGGATCTCGAGGCCCCTCCTCCTACCTTCCGTGGTGCTTCCGAGAGCGACGCAGGAACCAGATTTTACGCCAAACCTGAATGATCACTAAACACCCCGCCCCGCGCCTCTACAGCTTGGCGGTGGCCCGGCTCTCTGGAACTAGACGGATTTGCTTAATGTAACTGTACGGTTGCGGGCATCTCCATGTTTCAGCTTCCTAGTTTGTGAACTGGCTTAATTCTTCCAGGGTTGTTGTTAAGTAAAACCTTGTGAATTGAGTGTTTAGCGCGGCGCCTGCCACATCGTAGCGGCCCTCGAAAGGTCGATGTTTATATTTTTAAAGCACTCAGGAAATTCCGAGTTAGCAGCTCCCTCCCAGGAACCCAGGACAAAGACCAGACCCCCCCCCCCCCAG